TGTAACCCAACAACAAACTCAGTAAAACTGAGTGGGGGCAAATAACGTTATAAAAACAGTGTCTTCAGACGCGCCTCAGAGCTTCTCCTCCAAAGTTACAGTGACCCCATTCTTCTCCAACATTAACCAGTCGGACGGTTAGCTTGTTCAGAGCGTGAAGACCCAGGAATTGGTTCCGTTTCACCCTAAAACCGCACCTAAGCCAAAAACTGTTGATTTGGTCAGTGATTCGCTGACCCATCGGCCGAACTGTTGATTCAGGCATTAGTTTTTGGTCATTTTTTATTTTATTTAGTTTTATATATTTTTTATTTTTTAAGTTACAATAGGCCATCCGTTCGAACTGGGCAGTTAGGCCATTTGACCCAAAAACCGGTGGCCAGAACTGTTTTATATCTAATCCGGTGTTTAAAACTTTGATTTAATAATATGGTCCGGTAGTCTGACAACATTTGTACTAGCTCATCAGCTACGAACAAAAACTTCCTTTTTATTCCCATTAATTTGGGATACTGCAATTTGTTACAAGACGGGGCAGCACTTCCCCAAGAATCGCAAAATCAAATAAAAGCAAGCGATCGAGGAAGATTGAAATCATTAAGCACCATGTCACCATGTTGTTCAACGCTGCATCTCTTACCTAATTTGCTTCTCAATAAACATGACGTTAGCAGTAGCCACAATCCTTGTCTTCAGGTTCCATGGCAGATCCACATTCACATTCTTATTCTTAGTAAGACAAATTAATAGCTAGCTTAGAATCTCCCTCAATAATAACCTTGGGATATTGCATTTATCTTAATAACCGGGTAACTCAGAGTTAGAGATGAGACTCAAGATTTAGGTGGCGTTTGCTATCATTGAACAGACCTTCCAACACTTGAAATATTGCCTTTTAAGCGGCCGGTGGTCATTCGGTTGCACCTCCGAACATACCCTCCGAAAGCTGAAAACAGCTCCGAAAACTTCAGAGGTTGAACTACCTCTGAGCGCATTCGGAGGTGGCGGATGAAACTTGTTTTCCACCGATGCCCCTTTGTTTCCAACCGATGCCAATGGTGATGGAGAACCAATAATAGAAAGGTGGTGCCAAAAAGCCCAAAACGTGTGGATGATAACATGCTCACGGGCAACAAAAGAGGACAAAGAGGGTGCGGTCATGCTCACCGGCATTAGAGGAGAAAGAGAGTGAGGTTGTCCTCACCGGCAACGGAGGAGAGGGATGACAGTCGTGTTCACCGGCAATAGAGGTTGAGAGAGAGAGCAGTGACCGCAACCGTGTTCACCCACAACAGAGGAGAGAGAGGGTGTGATTGTGCTCACTGGCAACAGAGTAGGAGAGGGCACAGTGACTGCAGTCATGTTCATCAGCAGCAGAGGTTGAGAGAGGGCATAGCAACCATGGTTTTTCAAACCGGCCCGGAGACTGAACAGGTCAGGGGTCCGGTTATAAGGTCGAACGTCGGCCCATTCTGACAAAAAAATAAAAAATTAAAAAAAACTTAAAAAAATAAAAAACGGTCAGAACCATTTGAATGATTCGAATAGTTAACCACCCAGGTCAGCGGTTTGCTTACCAAAATCAACGGTTTTTGGAAAAAATCCAATTTCGGAGAAAAAACGAAACCAATCATCTGACTAGTTCCCGATTTTTCCGGTCCGGTTGTCCAGTCCGGTCCAGTTTTGAAAACCATGATAGCAACCGCAATCATGTTCACCGGCAACAGAGGAGGAGAAAAATCATGAAAAGATGGAAGAAAGGAGAGAGAGAGAGAGAGAGAGAGAGAGAGAGATGGGGCAATAGGGCAGAAAGACGAAATTCTTACCATGGTGGCAGAGGTTGAAGACAACCTCTAGTTTGTTCAATTTTATTTTTTATAATATTAATATTATTAACATTTTATAAATATTATTTTATATTAATATTTTAAATTGAACATTAATATTAAAATTATTTAATATTATTAATATTTGAAGGCAAATATTGATGTTTAGAGGACAAATTAAAAATAATAAATATTATTTTATAATATTTTGAATAAATTTTATTTTGAAAATTTTAATCTTTTTATAAACATTGTTAATCTTATCTCATATTTTTATTATTTTGTAATTTTTATAATATTATAAAAATTTTATAGTTTTCGTTATTTTTTATTTAATAGTTCAGGTGACAATTTGAGAGGTAAATTTGTAGAATGCACAATTTTCAGACGTTACAGCATTCAAATTTCTGAACAACTCCACTATATTCAAATGTCTACAAAAGCAAAAAAGCAAATTTTCAGCTGAATGCTTTTAGAGACTTTTCAAAACCTTTTTAGCTCTTCAGACTTTAGATTTATCGAATGCCACTTTAGTCAAGTTACCAATTTCATTTATTATGTGGATTTTATATTATCCGGTCGTATCTAGCTTGTATAAATATCTTGTAGTTTGTACTAATAATGTGGTCCTATCCCACAACATCATTGATAGTCCTTACCTAAATTAAAGATTAATTAATGTCAGGCTGACTACAAAAAGCTGGTCACATCCTGTACACGAAACATTACAGCTATCGCAAACATTTCCCTTAAATGTTATTGTGAAAAGAGAATTGTTTTTTGATTTTTTAGAGGTTCTAAATAAAGAAGGTTGTTTGTGTTGGATTAAACCTTTATATCTGAAATTTATTGATTTTATTATTTTATCCTTAAAATAGATTATTTGATCATTTTGAATTCAATTTGGATTATTTCATAAAAAAATGATTTATTAAAGTAAGAATAAAATTGAAAATAAATATCAATTTATAAATTAAAAATAAATTATTATGAGTTAAAAGAATAATGAAAATAGTATAAAGACCATGAAGCAATAAAAAAATTTAATAATTATCAAATTAATATCTTAAAACTATTAAAATATGGGATGATAGAAAGACAGGAGAGAGAGAGAGAGAGAATTATTGCTGTTGAAAGTTGTAGTGACGATGGCAGAAAGACAAATAAGAGAGAAAGTTGAAAAAGAAAAACAGAATAACAAATGTTGAAACATTTATCAACTCAAAATTCTTCTTACAAGCCAAAAAAAAAAAAACAAAGGAAAAAAAAAAGAATTGATAAATGCAGAAACATTTTTTTTCTTTGATTACTTCGATATAATTTATAGATCATTAGAAAACAAGGCAATAATGCCCTTGAATCAAATACAAGCAGTTCACCACTTTCCCCACTAACCAAGTCAAACCCAATTTGACCTTCCAAAACCGATTCGAGTCCAAATCGCTTACATACTCTTCCCGCAATGACTTGGCATACCAAAATGGCTCTTCTGCCCTTCCCTCCACCAACGCTTTCATGGGCCCGCCGATGCCGGAAAACGTGTAAATTGCCGCTTCTTTCCGGAGATAAGGCACGTCACAGTGGCGTCATAGATTCCTCCGGAAGTAGGGCCTAAGTAGTGAAATCTCATCCTTCCGCGTTGCATCGCGCATCATCCTCGATTCTATTGCCACCGTTGTTGCCACTACAACAAAATCAGTCAAAGGGTACTTCAAATTCAGATAATGGTGAGTCATTCTCTATCATGCAATCAAATTTTAGGACAAAGCCCCACCATCCGTGGTTAGTTAAAGACATTTGGACTGAGAGAGTGGATTATCAATATTCATATATTTAAATTTAAAATTGGAAAAAATGGATAAAATAAAACTTTTCAATGAGTAATGGTCACTAAGGGGGTGTCATACAATGCGAATTGTTTTTCTTGTTGGTTTCAAAAACAAATAAAAAAATTTTTAGTTTTAAATCAAATTAGTTTTTAAAACAAAAATAGAAAAAAAAACATCTAAAAACAGATAATATATATACATACATACTTATATTAGACCATTGGTCCACACATTCATACTTCATGGGCTGCACGCACCCATGTGCATTGTAACTCACTATCCTCCTAACGGATGATGTTGATGTGAGTGGCCCCACACATTGTCACCATTCCAACCCTAAACCTTGTGTTGAAGGATAGAAAAAAATTTCACCTTTTTCTTTCTTTCTTTCTCTTTCTTTTTTATTCCTTGATAAGTCTAACCATTTATACATGCTAATTGACTCATAGTTTCTCCTTCTGTTTGATGAATAACAAAGATAGATGAAGCCCCATCAGCTGTATTGCCTTCCATTATGTGATGATTAGAAGTCTATTTGAACTACTTTGTTGTGTTTCTTAGTTAGCTAATCAGAAAACAAATCCTAAATAATGGGTTGGTCATTTACCAAAATTTAAAGGGTTTCTAGCTAGATTTTATTAACCCATCAGCTGGTACAGATCGCTCTGTGCTGTCCTAATGAAAAAGGGGAACTGGAGCAAAGACAGTGGGATCCGTTGCTTCAAATGACAGTTGAGATCCCCCAACATTTTTTGTTGATCGGTGTTCTTAGACTAAATATGATTTTTCAATGGCAATTTAAATTCAAGCTAAATGTTTCTAAAATTTCTAGGTAATCTTTCACAAACTCAAAACATTGATTCTTTCTTCAAGTTTTAACAACACTATGACTGTTTCCAACTATATATTTCTTGTATCTCTAAATAAGTCTCATACATCACTCAACATCAAAATCATAAATTCTGAGTATTTCTTTGCTTTTTTTCTTTTATTATTAATGTTTTTTTTTTCTTATCAGCAACTTTAATCCCAAAGTGCTTAAATGAAATTTAAAGAAAGTTCAACATACCAATAGAAGCTAGTGTTCCCCTGAACTAGTTCAATATTAGTCCTAGTGGTGTTGTTGCCCAAGACCCCTACTTTTGTTCTTTTGTTAAAACCCTCAACAAAAGGAAACTTAGAAGCCCAAACAAACCCTTAATGCCCAAATGCCCGAGATATCAAACTCTCTTTTTTTCATTTTTTTGTTAATCAATTTCTAAGAACTTGGATATCTCATTTGGTTTTTCCAGATATCCCAAATTGTCCTAGGGTTTCATCTTTTCCTATCTAATGAAGTTCATTTTGATCCAAAAAAAAACAAAAATCCATTCTTGCATTATAGAGAAACCTGTTGAATAGAAATTAAAAATAAATAAATAAAGAAAAAGCACTTAAGTATCGAAAATTACAAAATCTTTTTGAAATGATTAGTCTTTACAAAATTTATCATTAAAGAACTAATTGAACATCAGAGTCAAACCTGGTAATCTAATTGGACATCCGAGGCTTCCCACTTGTTACTGCACTCTAAGCTTTCAACCACCGACAGTGAATAACGAGCAAGCAAACTGTGAAGTTGGAATAGATGAAAAGGAGACAAATCGGTGAAGGGCTGCTATCCCTTGGAGATCAGATCAGAGAGATATGTCGTTGCAGGTGCCGTCGCCTATTGGATGTCACTGTGCGAGAAGACTGTGAGAGAAGGAGCAAAGAGAAGTCTCGACTATGAAAGAAAGAGAGAAGATGAAAGGGGGAGAGGAAAAGGCAAAGAAATCGGTGACTTACCTCACCAGATTTTGGTTCAATTCAATTCTTTTCAGATGCCGAAGGAAGGAGAGGCAAGAGATTAGGGAGAGACGGTTGGAAACTAAAATCGTGAAAGAGAAAAGTTCAAGGGGGTTTTCGCTGATGCAGATTGAGGGATGACGAGGGAAGTGGGATTTTCGTTTGGGCGGGAGAGATTACTCTCTTTTTTTGTTTTTCAATGTACCGAGTGAATGTTCTCTAGCGGCGAATATGCATTCTTCCCGTCCGAGAGAGAGAGAGAGATTTCAAAGACATTCTTCCCGTCCGAGAGGGGATTTTGGCTATTGGATTTGAAGAAACACAAAATGACATGGCGGAAAAACGTGAGAGCGATTAATCAAATGGGGTTTTTTATGATACATCTGAGTGCATTAAGTGGCACCTGTGTCTTTAATTTCAATTTGAAAAAGCATTTTAGATCATATTTTAGATGCAATACGAAATGAGCCTAGTGTCTAAAAAATAGATATTTTAAACGTCAAACCTCTGAAAAGAATTACCAAATGAAAATGCGCAAACAAGATTGTTTGATTAGTGAATAGAGGGGGCAAATTGATGTCGAGAAACCAATTGTTGCCTCCTCTTTTACAAAGGCATTGTTTGGCATTATTGTCGTTTCTCAGAAAATGATGCCACATAGGCACCACATTAGAGAAAACGGTGCTTTAAACAATACCCTCTTTGTTTGGTACAGTTTTTCTAGAAAAAACATTACTCTAAACCATGCCTTGAAAATCAAGAAAGTATTGTCAAATCGAGAAAATATTGTTTGGAGCAACACCAAATTCAATATTTTCTAGGAAAACGATGCATTGCTACCCATGATGCAATGACGTGGCATCAATGTGACACCATCTTGGACATTGGATAATATAGATCAATGTTGATGTCAACATTGAGCTGGTACCAAACAAAACCAATGCTGTTTTATCAAAAAATGCCTTATGGCAACACTGGTTTCAAAGAAAAAATAATCATTATTTTCTCTAAAAAACTCTGCAATGTTCCTAGCAACCGATGCCAATCACCTACAAAGTAAATTATAATCATTACTATAATAGTCTAAAAATAAAAATTCTTCCTTGCACCGAGTCCATTTTTTTTTTTGAAAGATAAATACTATATTAACAAACAGAAAGAATAGCACAGTCGTCAACCCTAATTATCCCTTCTAGATAGTCTAAACTTACTAAGGCTCCGTTTGCTTTTCGGTAAGTTATTTACCCGGGTAAGTGTAGTTACCTAGGTAAGTTTTTCATGAGAAACACTTACCCAGCTAAGTGCATTTACCCATGTTCTTTTATTTTTCATGCAAATAAGGCAATGACTATTTTAATCATAAAAATCCATTATTAAAATGGACATTTTTGTTCCATTCAAGTTTTGACAATTTTCCCCTAGGTGAAAAAATTATTTACCCACCTAGGAGATGGGACATTATTTACCTAAAAAAATAAACTTTCTCTGATGGTTACATAAATCTGAAAAAACATGGTATTAACCAAGTGATTGATTAGGTCTCCTATTGTGTAGAGAAGACTTCAGATCGTACCCGTCTGCACCTGGGTTGAGGGGGTTATGGATTCGGAGATGGAATGGGAATGAAATACCCCAATTGCGTAGCCCTATCTAAGTGGGCTATTGAACGTTTTGGCTTGGTAGGACTGAAATGAGCAGAGAGCTACCCCAAATCTGACCATCTTTTGAAATATCTTTATTAATACAAAATCTTGATTGGTGGAAGGTGTTCAGTGTTTAATAAATGGTATCGTCCACTTATTTTTCGCATGTGATGCCCCAACAAGGGGAGTGGGGGTGAACCGGTGAGTTGGAAATGGTTGTGAAAATTCGAATGGCACACTATAATTTCTGTTTGCTGTGGTCAAGGTCTAAAGTTTAAAGTAAAATCATAGGAGATCAATTCAATTCTTCAATCATGTTTACAATCAGCTCCCTTCTTGTTATAAGGGAGGTCTTTGTCACAAATAAAAGTTCAGAACTATTTATCACTAATTGTATAAGGGGGTTTTTATAATTTACCCTTATTTTCAAATTGAGAAATTTAGAGTTTATCTCAGAGATTTTGGGGTCTCATTAGTGTATAACAGTAGTAGGGCTTTTGGGGCAGAAATTGCCCCATTAATAGAATGCTACAGGGGGTGTAACCTGGGAAGACACTACACATGAAGACCAAACTGGACTCTTAATCTGGACCTTTTTTCAGTCACTATAGCATCCATATTCCATAGCCCACTGTTTCAACATCTCCTGTGTATTATTTGCCCTCTACCATCAGTTGTATAATTTTATTGCTGTAAGGACCCAGTAGAGTACCTCCTTGGTCGTCGGAGGAGGTGGTCCAATTGGAGATCGGCTTTGGTCAGGGCAAGCCCATGGCCACACCGTGCCAACAGCCTCTTGCAACCTTACATCTGGAATATCTCTTTATGAAATAAATCACATAAATACGAATATATTTCCAATGCAAGACTGTAAACACTATTGGAAAGGGAATTACCCTGACCCAATCAGAACTCGTCCAATTGGCACAGTCCCATATGGAAGCTGGTCTCCTGTGAACGCTGCGTTGCTGAAACATGGGGCACTTGGCTTCCTTTTTCAATCTTTCTATGCCAAAATACTTCGCCTTTTTTTTATCTCTACCCTCAACCTTTGGCCTTCTCTAGTTTAGTTATCCCTGTTTTTCCAACCTATTTCCTTTTAATAGTCAGGACTTGGGATACTGCTGTCGGTGAAGTCGGGGAGGCAGAGCGTGGTTCTGGACCTCTGGTTGCTATGCCCCATTAACCCATAAATGAGATAACTGAAAACACTAAGCCTCCTAACCAATAACCATCATTGTTAGCTTTATTGGTTTTGCAAAAGAAATAAAATCGGCCAACTCCCAACTACCCAGACAAATTTGTGAATTAATTTGGGTGTCTTTTGTGGTTGGGTTATAATTAATTCAAGCTTGTTATTAAATGGATAATAAAACTCTTAGTTGGGGTGGCATTTTCTGATGAATCTGAATTTGGTTCAAGGATTATCTGGTCTAAACTGAAAAGAACAGGCTCACATCCAACCTGACTACTACTACTACTATTACAGTCTCGTTCTATCTTATTCTCCCTTGGAAATCCTAGTGATATTTAAGCTGATATTCTTCAATTGCGTTCTGTAATTGTAGAAATGCCCAGAATAATAAAATTCCTAAAAGGGTAATCAGAATGTATAAGGATATCATCAAACGGGAAAGTAGCTGAAATGTTTGAACATTGAACAAGAAAAAGGGCCAACTTTCCCTCTGGTTATAATTTCTCCATGTATAGCCCGTCCAATTATAATATATTTGATCTTTAATTGCATGTGCAAATTTTGTTCTCTAAATACTAAGAAATGCCTGTTCCAAATTTAAACTTGATTTTGATTAACACTCTGTGGATATGGCTTTAAATAGAACGGGTTGACGAAACAAGACACATATAATTGGAGGGTCAGGGTTCTCAGGTGGGAGTCAAGAGTTGCCACCAAAATCCCCAATGGCAAATTGGTTATAATCCATGATTCCATTGAAAAGAAAACAGAACGAATCAACACATAGTATTTAGTTAATAGTTATCTTAATCCATGAATTAGTGGACATCTGCTTTTGCTTTAACCAGTTGCAGACTAAAAGCTGACACGACTCCATGGCCCATGGGTATCGTTCACCATGTTCAGTACACGAAAAAGCCAATACCAACTTGCAGAGGTCAATTAAAGCATTTGGGTTTTCTATACAGCATATACGAGATTGCCCAATCCATTCCATGTCATGGGTGTTCTGGGAATATTTCTCAAAGAAAAGGAACTATTAAACCCAGAACCCGGAACGAGTGTTTTCAGGTAGTTGAAGGAATTGACATCAAATGGACCAAATAATATATGATTTTAGGTGGTTGCACTGGCGTGGCTTTCAAATGAGAAGTGCTTGAGACTTGAGAGGAGGGAGCGGGAGCCATAAGCTCAGAGGTGGATGGTCAGAGTCAGAGAGAGTCACAGAGAGAGAGAGAGAGAGATCATAAAATTAAGTAATATAGTTCCATCTTTTCTTTAATGACACAATTAACCATGAGAGATTAAGACAAATATGACCCTTTAATAAGACTTAAAAACATGGCTAATTACGTACTGAATCAATTGTTGGATCAGCCCAAGTTGGTTCAGTCCCTTATTTCCCGAACTGATCCTTCTGTTTGAATAAAAAAGGCTGATCTGTGCTTGATCTAGATCATGGTGGCCAACCTCTCAGCCTAACTAGCAGCCGTGCTCTATCCAACGCTGAAGTGTTCAATAAGTACAAGAAACATCATGTATTACTCGAGTTATAATCAGATAACATTCCTTATACTGTGTTCTCTATCTCCATCTCTTTCCTTCTATTTTAATTTCAGTATACCAACTGACTACTTTTTCTTACTGTACTGTCATGCATAAAAGCAGAACGGTTCTCCTTACATGATAGAAATGGAGCAGTGGATATGGGATTCAAGTTTATCACTTCAGCACAAATATTCTCAACTCCACACAGTCAAAGCTTAATTATTCCTCAAGAACATATTTGTAATATAAATTAAAGTTTGACACTTTTGCTTGTAAGGTTATTTATGTCATACCTGATATCTCATGCCATATAATACTTCTCTCACCTACAACTATCTTGGACAATAATTCAGCATTGATTACTTTTGATGAATACTCAACTAATCATCATCTTAAGTCAACAAAGCATCGTCTCCAGTAAGGAAAGAAAAAGAAAGAAAAAGAAACAGAGTAAAAGTAAGAAAAAAAGAAGACCCATCAACACCCATCTCTCTGTTTTTGGCCTTTGCTTTGATTTCCATCCAAGGCCCTTGGTTGGTAATGCTTTTCCACCCAGATTGCTGGCTTTACCAAGAAATTTTCATGATAACTGAGCCTTCTCCCTCTCTCTCTCTCTCTCTCTCTCTCCAAACTCCCACTCTGCTTGTCCTTCCCAGATCCTCTTGTTGTCCAAAACCCATTTAAAAATCGGCTCATATATGTCTGAATTCATGATCTGAAGCTCGATTGAAGTACAGCTTACAGGTTCAAATACTTCTGTCATCAAAACCTCCTAGGAGTTTGAACTTGAAAATGTGTCAAGGACTGTGTAAAGCTTTTAGTGTAGGTTTGTTTTATCAAACCAGTAAATTTTGTCCCAGTGATGTTCTTCACCTCATCATGATTTAGTTCTGTCCAATAGATTAGTAGGTTGCTAGCTTGGTGAAGAAAAGAGACTCCCATAAGGAATTAATGGGGATGGCGTATCTGGAAAATCCACAGACTTGGATACCATATGAAAGCAGCAAGGACTGCTCTCAAGGGTTTTGTACCATCTATTGCCCACAGTGGTGCTACATCGTCTACCCTCCTCCCCCTCCCTTTGGGTTCTCGGAAGAACAAGCCTCCAGCCCAAACTTGTCCCCTTTGGTGATCGCCATCATTGGAATTTTGGCAAGCGCTTTCCTACTTGTATCCTATTATACCCTCATCTCTAAGTACTGTGGGAATTCGGATTCAGTCAGAAGAATAGAAAATCATGAACCAAGTGCAGATTTCGACGATGATCCCACTCCCAATTTGAACTATGAAGAGTGGCAAGTCTCGACCAGGGGATTGGAGGAGTCCTTAATCAAGTCCATCACATTATGCAAGTACAAAAGGGGAGATGGGCTGATTGAAGGAACGGATTGCTCTGTTTGTCTGAGTGAATTTCAAGAAGATGAGAGCCTCAGGCTATTACCCAAGTGCAGCCATGCTTTCCATGTTTCTTGCATTGACACCTGGCTAAAATCTCACTCAAACTGCCCTTTGTGTCGTGCACATGTTGCTTCTCCTCCTCCTAATCCATCACCGCTTCAATCACTGCCTCCAGTGCCAGAAACTCGTCCAGAGTCGACTGGATCTTCGGTAGAAAGGTTACAGGAAAATGATATAGTGGTTGCCATAGGAGATGCAGAAAGGAGTCGTGGAGAGGAGACGAGACAGACAGGCCAATCTGCTCCGAAGATCCCTTTGCGGGCTTTAAGTGATCTAGGGGATGCCGAGCAGAGGAACATTATAATTGAGGTTCAACAAATTAGGCGATCTGTTTCCATGGATTCTTCATGTCAAGGTCGCCTGTCAATCGCTGATATATTGAGCATACGTGAAGATGTAGACTCTCAAGAGGAAGATCACCGGATTACAGTAGGGGCAGGATCATCGAAGCAAGGTGGGGGATCTTTTGGCAAGTCGTCTAGCAATAGAAACAGGGTCTTACATTGTGTTATGAGTCCTGTAGCTATGAAGAGATCATTTTCTAGTGGGAGATTCATGTTGACACGGCATGGAAGAGGAAGGAATTCCATTATTCCCTTGTGAAGATTATTTTCATGTATCAAAGAAGAAGAAATCATATTGAAATTACAGTTTCTTTTGTTCAGTAGAATCATAGCGAATGTCTCGAGACATCCAAATTAGAAGGGAGGAGATGGCCTTGGTGTGAAAATCTTACATCAAGTAAGTGTATGGTGTAGCTTTTCTACTTGAAGTGTTGGAATTCTCCTCTTTAAATGATAATGGAGAGTCCATTGATGTTTTTGAAATATGTTTTTTTGGTTGTAATTTCAGTCTCTCCCATTGTGATGAGCTTGTAACGAAATAGAGTTCGGGTGCAATTGCTTCCGTGTTACTCTTTCTCTCTCTCTCTCTCGCCTGAAACACTTAACCTTTCACCTTAATCCTCTTAGGTAGAATTGTCTAGCAAAGGAATAGGGTAAGTTTGGCTGTTCGGCAAAGAACACCCTAGACAGTTTTGAAGCTACATATCCACGACGCATAGCATGGGAGTGGGATAAAAGAGTAATTGCAATCAATAATTTTTAATTAAAAAATAAGGGTTATTTACTAAAACACCCCCCATAGTTTCATGCATTCACTAAAACCTACCCAATAGTTTGTGTTTTATTAAAGGATAAATTACAAAGACCCCCCGGTACTATGGGGTCTGTGACAAAGACCCCCCTGTACTATGACCGTGAGACAAAGACCCCCTTCCATTAGCCTTCCGTTCAAAAAGGCCGTTATAATATTTTTTAATCCCCATACTACTACCCTTGTAATAATTAGAAAGAGAAAACACTGTTCATCTTCCTCAACCTTCCGATACTATCCTTCTCCTTCACATTTCTCTCTCCCTCTCTCTCCACTCTCTCCCCCAATCTCTCTTCTTGCCCTTCCCCTTAGCAGCGTTGGGATTGACCCATTTAATTCAATCCCGATCTCTCTCTCCGTTATTGCTTTCTTTAGATCCCGATCTCTTTCTCTCTCTCTCTCTCTCTCTCTCTCTCTCTCTCTCTCTCTCTTCATTTGCCTGCTTCCCTAACCAATTCAAAACTTTCAACCCGTCTTCAAATGCAGTCGGATAGGCAACTTCCGCCACCGTGAAATTGCAGCATGATAGGTTTTGGGCGTTCCAAGAGCGCCATAGCTGTTACGATGAAGGTTCTGGAGGTTGGGATTTGCACCGAGAGTGGCAAATGATCACACAGCTTGTGATGGACTTCAATTAGAAGTGGGAGTGCCATTAGCTGGTTCTATTATTCTCATCATTAAACCTCCCTGCTTCAGCGACTGTTCATCTTCATCATGGTATACATATGCAAAGCCACCGTGTCGGGTCATATCCATTCCTGCCATCTCATCCTCAGCTGATATCCTCAACAAATTCATCTTATTTAACACATAAAACAGAGGACCCATGGTGGCACTCACCCACCGTTACGACGAAGGTTCTGGAGGTTGGGATTTGCTCCGAGAGCGGCAGATGACCACACAACTTGTGATGGACTTCGATTAGCAGCGGGAGTGCCATTAGCTGGTTCTGTTCTTCTCATTATTAAACCTCCCTGCTTCTGTGACTATTCATCTTCATCATGGTATAAAACAGAGGACCCATTCTGGCCATCTCATCCTCAGCAAATTCATCTTATTTAACACATAAAACAGAGGACCCATGGTGGCACTCACCCACCCACCAATCGTCAAAATCTGGATAATTTGAGCAGCTAAGAGCTTTCCACCTCCTCCCATGAACAGCCCATATGGCCTCCCTGTGGCCTGGTATACCTCCTGCACATATATGCCCCTTACAAACAAGCCCGTGAATATAAGACCCCAACATTCACAACCACCATGCAATTGCGCAGCCTCCAGTGGGTCATCATATTTGAACTTCTTAGCAAGCTTGTTGCATCCAATCAAGACCCAAGAGGCAATGAAACCGCAGACGATAGCAGCCCATGGCTCCACCACTGAGCAACCAGAGGTGATTGCCACAAACTCACCAAGCAATCCATTGCACACATCGGTAATGTTCCAGTGTTTTGAAATCAACCTTTTCCCGAACAGAGTGGTCAGTGCAGCCATGCAACCGGCCAAGGTCGTGGTCACTGCAGTCCGGCAAAGTAAATGAGGTAAATGACAAACTAGGTTTCTATCCGCTATAGAGTCACTGGTGATCCCTACAACAGCAATGGAAAAAGCCCATTGATACAGGAAGTTACTGTAATGGAACAGCTCTGACGGGAACGCCTTCATGCCCAAGAAGTGATGGCCGATGAAGCCGTTGGAAGGAGAACCAAAGACAAAGGTGAACCCAAAGAGATAGTAAAACAGACCCCTAGCGGCCGTGTTGAGCACGTTGGTGAGCATTATGTTCATAGTGTTCTTGGCTCGAACGGAGAAGAGAAGAAAGGGAAGATGATAAATGTGAAGGGATGAGAGATCCATCATATGGATGGCCGAATCCCGCAAGAAGGTTGGGCGAAATTTCAAAAATTTCTCTCTTTCCCATCTGGGAATCGCATTTCCTATTTTAGAAAATTGCATTTTCAATAATCAATCTTGAACCAAACCGGACTAGATCTAAAACTAAAAGGGAGGAGATGGATATGCCTGATACGGAGTAACAGTAACTCCCAATGAAGGTGTTCACGCCCAAGGAGAAAACCAAAAACTGCTTCCACTGAAAATGACACAGTGAGAGGTGAAGCAGAATCAGTAGGACAACTCTTCAGCAAGAATGGGGTAGAGGGCTAGTGAGCACGACTTTAGATTGCTTCTTCTACCAAGAAGCAATATCAAGAACAATTCTTGATCACTCCCACAAGTGGAGATCGAACTGGGTAGGGGCGGCAAGAACAGGGAAGAACTCTACAGACTGCTGTAATGTCTGTTGTGTATTTTGCATGTCTGCCCTGCTCTCTTATTTATAGCCTTAAAGAGACAAACTCCTAATCTATACCCTAGAAATATATAGCATTTGTCTTCACCCTATTTATGAAAGAGACTCTCTATGTGGCCACACTACCTTGCATATCCCGTTTTTAGCAACTTTTTAATGTCCTAGAAAACAGTGTACTCCCAACTAGATGATAAAAGTCCTTACATTTTTCTTCTTCATTAGGACCATACTGTCGCATGTAGCTTTCATGACTCCACATGGAACAAAGACCATATAACATTTGGAGTCCAACTAACTAAATGATAATAAATTCCTACACACCTTTAGGACATATGCCACACTACTAGGGGTGCAACTTTTCCGGGTTAGGGTTGGGATTTTGCCAGAATTTCAATGGGCCCAACCCGAAGCCCGAGCCCGAAATAGTGTAAACTGTTATCTCGGGCCAACCCGACTTACACCCTACGCACTACCTAGAGTGCAAACCACTTCAGCTTGTAATGGGCCCAACCCGAAGACCAAGCCTAAAACAGTGTAAACTGTTATCTCGGGCCAACCCGACTTACACCCTACACACTTCCTAGAGTGCAAACCACTTCAGCTTGTACAATTGTCACTTTAAATATAACTTTTTGGTGAAGCATTTCCTTAAATAAAGTTTCTCTAGATTTTTCTTAAATCTTCAGCCTATACAATTATCTTTCATCCATAACGTTTTAATATAACATTATTAGCAAGGAACAACTGAATCATATTAACACACTTTAACTTAATGTTCTTCCAATCAACATCCTTCTTGTCATTTGACTTTCCATCATTTTCCTTTAGTTCTCTAACCAATTTTTGTTGAACTAAAATGTCTTTTACCCTCCTTTTCCATGGGGTAAAGCTGCCTCTGTCATTAAACCTATAAATCTAGAATTTTGAAAACTTGTATACATTTTGTTGTCATTATCTCTTAAATAATTTCACAAAACATCTTGTAAACACCAACTTGGGTGCTCTAATACTACTTTGTTGGGACTCACAACAAACACTTATAAGACAAAACTATAAAGTATTAGAAAAATGGAAATCAAGAGAATTTAATAGCAACAGAAATAAAGTAATCCAAATAAAGACAAATAGAAACAAGCACCATCAAGAATATTAAGGACTTACATCATTAGAACTCTCCCTGTTCTTCTTTTATTTCGAAGAACAAAACAAGAGAAAAAAACCTACTCTTACACTAAGAGCATACTCTTTCTCTCATTCTCTCTTTTTTTTTTCCTCCAACAAGAGAAAATAACAAACTTCTCTCTTTTTTTCCCTGCATATGAAAGAAATCTTCTATATGTAAAACTCACCTTAAACTAAAAGAGGGATTACATACCCATTTCTAGACTATAACCTAATCAAATGGTTGAAAAATAAATCACAATTTCAACAAATATCAATTTATACAAATCTGATTTTAAAATCCATTATTTGAATTTGATCTATTTATAGATGGATGAAATATGAATCTACCATAGCTAAGTCGATCGATTTGGACCAGACCCCACAATATTTTATATATAATGTATGTAGATTGTAGAATATATTAATATGCATTTATAAATGAAGTTGGTTTAAATGTTGTATTTTTGCTAAGAGTCATGGGTTTAGGTCTTCCAAAATTTATTTTTAAAACATTTTTACTCATAATATATAATATTGATCATTTTTGGTTCATTTATGATATAAAAAATGTATGTTTCCTATAGAACTTTGATCAATCACAACCCCTAAATCTTAATGAATACCAATTGATTGATTATTACTTTTATGATACCAGTTGGTTGGTTATTAGTTTTTTAGTTATCATAACAACACTATTATTCATCTCATGCCATATCAAAATATGGTATGAGTTAAATTGGAATCCAACAAATAAGATTTGATACAAATTTGAATATTATTTGATTGAAATTTGATCTATATATATTTGGTTCCATCTTATCCATTTCAAGCCCCAACTTTGTAAATGGCTATCATTAACATGGGTAGTAGTAACAAGTTGGTCAACAATCTATTCCATGAATTCTTACTCATTAGGTGAATTAAGGGGAATCTGTCAATGTGATAATTGTTTTTGTTTTAAAAAACCAAAACCATTCACATTGGTAAATAGAACATATATGACATCGAACATAATTGAATGGTAAAATAGGATTTATGTAACGTAACCCTTACATTCAGGGTAAGGCTTAGATGATGATGGTGACTCACATAGGCAAACAACTTGAACTTTGAAACTTATCAGATTTGTTTCCCAAGTTCATTTTCACCTGCGATATGACTGTAATTATTTGCTAAATTCCTGATGGACATGTGGTGTCCCTAGGGGGCAGCCTCGTTACTTCACAAGCCTCAAGGGGCATCCCTGAATATTTACCCCTAACCTTAATGGCAAATTGCTCTCAAGACATTGCAACCTTGGTTGATCTCTTTAGTTCATTAAAGCTAGAGCAACACTCAACTATATGATTAGCATCTTAATGTCTTTGGCGTTCATTGCACCCTAATGTGTAGAGGGTCGCTACAAAGAACCCATAACACGATCGGTAATGGGACCTTGCTTATAAATAAGATATAGGAATCACAGGTAACCATCTTACACTCTTTGATTCTCACTTTTGCTCTTGCTCTTGTCTCACCTCAGCACCTTAGCTTTCAATCACATCGGCTAACATAACCGTCGAGGTCCTTGCTTTTGGCACCACACCTAGGGGCCTATAACATCCTTTTGTGTTAATAGGTAGGACCCTCAGCTAGATCACATTGGAAGTTCCCAAACTGCCCTTGCTACATTCTTTGGTGGCATCACTTGTCACTATCTGTAGAAACAACAAACATATGAAGTCTCATTCTTAATTTTTATGGCCAATCAGCAAGACAACTAGAGGACAAGGAATTACTTGCCCCTCCTACACCTCAAAACCATGTCACCTAGAAACAATTCCAACAATTGATGGAGCGGGTGGCCCTTCTTGTTGATGAAGTGTGGCCATATCATGATAGAAGGCCAATAAATCCTCTATGAGTTATGATGTAACCGTTTTTGGTCACGTACCATTTTTTGTGATGTATAAATTTTTTTGGCTAAGTACCTCGTGTTTGACCTGGTGGTGACGTGCCTTAGTGATGAGCTACTTGGTGGCGAACTCCCTGGGGGAGAACTACTTGCTGACGAACTGCCTGGAGATGCTCCCTGCGAACTGCCTGGTGGCGAACTGCCCGGTGGCGAACTGCCTGGGGGTGCTCCCTGGTGGCGAACT